GCACCACATAAGCAAAAAGAAAAAAGCCGGAAGTGGCATTGTGGCTCAAGTGGTAGAGCACTAGCCTTGAGCTGAAGAGCTGAGGGACAGTGCCCAGACCCAGAGTTCAGGCCCTACAACCGGTCCCAAAAATAAAATAAAATATCAAACCTAAACTAAGCAAAGTTAAGTGATTTAGTCATAGTAATAATATATGATATCTTAGGGAAAGACACACACAAAAATAAACATTGAGAGCTGATTGTGGTAGTGGTAAAGTGCTTGCTTCATAAGCATTAAAGACCTGAGTTCAATGCCCAGTATAGGAAAATAAAATTTAATTTGATTTGGCCTTGATTCAGGTGCTCCAATGACAGAGCACTTGAGTAGCAAGTATGAGGTCCTGAGTTCAATTCCCAGTACCACACAAAATTTGAAATATTTTGAATAAGACTTATGAGCTCCATTATGCTTTAAAAGCAAAGAAAGAGAAAGAGAGAGACAGAAGGAAGGAAGGAAGGAAGGGAGGGAGGGAGGGAGGGAGGGAGGAAGGAAGGAAGGAAGGAAAACAGCTCGGCACCAGTGGCTAATCCTAGCAACTCAGGAAGCCAGCCTGGGCAGGAAAATTTGTTAAGACTCTTTTTTTTTTTTTTTTTTTTTGTGGTCGTGGGCCTTGAACTCTGGACCTGGGCGCTGTTCCTCAGCTCTTCAGCTCAAGGCTAGCACTCTACCACTTGAGCCAGAGCACCACTTCAGGCTTTTTTCTTTTTGCTTATGTGATGCTGAGGAATCGAACCCAGGGCTTCAGACATGCAAGGCAAGCACTCTACCACTGAGCCACCTTCCCAGCCCTATCATTTGTCTTTCTGAAGCTAACTTATTTTACTTAATATAAGCTCTTTTTTCTATTTTCCTGCAAATAACATGTTTTCATTCTTCTTTGTGGATGTACAGAGGGCTTACAGAGGGCTTACTTATATACATAAGGTAGTGAGTACTCTTTTCTTGTCAAACATTCTTTCATAGCTAAGGATGATGAACATTTTTCATATGGCCATTGGTTATTTGTACTTCTTTTAAAAACCATTTTCTCATTTATTAATTGGATTATTTATTCTTTTGTTTGTTTTGGTGTTTTATTTTTGAGCTGTTTGTATACACAGCATGTTAACTCTATGTCCAGTAGCTCTACAGTGTAATTTGAAGTCAGGTTCTGTTTTTGTTCATAATTGCTTTTGCTATTTGGGTATTTTGTAAAATTTAGGCTTGTTTTTTACATTTCTATGAAGGATGTCATTGAGATTTTGATGGGTTGCATTGAATCTGTAAATCACTTTTACTAGTATTCTTGTAAAATGGAAGGACTGTCTTCTCAGAGTTTTCTTCAATGTTTTTCTAGTTAACTATATTTAAACAATATTAAAGATGATCTCTAGTGTACAGAATTAGTTTTAAAGTTCAGTATTCAGTTGCACATTTGAAGCTTGAAATGACCAAACATTTCATATTTTTAGGGAACCGTGTTATTCAGAGCATAGGCTAGGTAGCTGTAATAAAAAGATTCAAAGTAAACTTCTTAATATTAATAGAAGTTTTACTTGAAAATAATTGTCCTTCTAGGTAAATTGGTCCAAGCTGATGGGAGATTACCACTATATTCAACTTCATCCCTGAGACCATGGCAAAGCTCTGCTTTTTTCAAAAGGATTGCTAGTTGATATTTCAAGGACAGGACTTGCAAACTGCACACATCATTTCTAGTACAAGAATGTGGGAGAAATATTGAGGTATCCAGCTAACAACAGATTCTGTTGTTAGAGATGAGAGAAAATACAATGAACAATTGGTAGTTCCTGCCATAACACATAGAGATTCTGAACATTTTAAAAGCAAATCTTTCTATTGTTTTTTAATGGTTCATTTTTATGGACTTTACAGTACCTTTCCTCTGTAGTAAAAAAAATTTTAGATAAATTTAAAAATAAAAGCAGACTAATGTGGATGCCTATGTATATGTTACTCATTCAGCATGTCAATAGAAGCATGCCTAACTTGGGTATCATTGGTATATAACTATGAATAGTTAAGTTTACCAAGGTTAAATCATTGAATATCAAAAAAAAAGGTAAGATGGAAGATAAATTGCTTTTAAGAATTCCCATACCTAGTAATGGGAAGGAGAGAATGAGAGAGAAAGAGGGAAGAGTTGATACTAAGCAAAAGGAAAGAAATGTACATATCACCCGATTTGGAAGAATTTTATTATTAATGTTTGTAGGGTTCATAAGCTTTGCAGATTAGAATGATGATCATTATCATTGTGAAGGTTAAAATGTGTTTGTGACTTTAGCTAAGTATAACTATGCCACAGTACTGTGAAATTTGTGTACTTAATAAAGAAATATTTGGGAAAAAAGAAATGTACTCATTATCTGACTTATGTAACTCTAACCCTTCTGTATAGCACCATCATAATATAAATAAAAAAATTAAAGCATGTAAGAAAAAGAATTCCCATACCAACTGCTAGATAGAAATTTTCTATTCAGGGAAGTGGCACTGTAGCTCAAGTGGTAGAGCGCTCGCCTTGAGTTGAAGAGCTGGGGGACAACGCCCAGGCCCAGAGTTCAAGCCCCACGACCGACAAAAAAAAAAAGAAAGAAAGAAATTTTCTATTCAGGAAGTAGATAACTAGCAGAAAGTTTTGAGATGAGCAGAGATGTTCAGAAGTAAAAGTTATACTGGCAACGCATATATGCAGCAGCTTTCCAAAACAGATAACTTAAAGTTGAGATGACAACTACAATATAGACATATACAAGATATAAGGTGATTTACATATTTTGAATTTTTTTAATTCCTAGTGACTTTGATTTTTACTTTATATTAAAGAGTTGAATTCTTTCTAAACCTTTCTTAAACAGTTCATTTTAATGTATGCATATAAGAAAGAAGCAATGTGATTTACATGTCAAAGATTAAGACTTTACAGCCTTGAAAAAAGAGGTCTTATCAAATTTATAGCTAAGAATGTCAATAAAGATGGTGAAATATGATAGTTTTTTTCCGACTTTTCTTTTTTGGTACTGGGGATCGAACCCAGGACGTTGCACTTGCTAGGTAAGCGCTTTGCCACTGAGCTACATCCCAGCCCTGAAATATGATAGTTATTTATGTATATATGTAAACAAATGTATACATGAGGACACCTGAAAATAGAGCAGGGAAAATTTTGATGTGGCAAAGCATTTTGATCAAATTGAGAGGTAATACTCTGTGTATGAGTGTATGTGTGTGTGTGTGTGTGTGTGTGTGTGTTGGGATTAAGTTTGAAGTTGGAGCCTTATGCTTATACTCTCCTACTTGAGCAATACCCCAGCCTTTCTTTCCCTTCAGTTACTTTCAGTAAGGGTCTCTTGCTTTTGCCCTGGGCTGGCTTTGGACCATGATCTTCTTATGTAAGTCTACCATGTAGCTTAGATTACAGCCATGCCCACCATGCCCAGAGCAGGTCATATTCTTAATACTTGGATTAGAATGATGAGATATTGTTTGGGGAGATAAGGATTTGGGCTCTATTTTGTTTGGATTTTATTGTAGTTATCAGAACATTAAAATAATCATAAAAACTCATAAGCCAAACATACTTGAAGGTGATAAAAATAGCTCAGTCCTACTGCTGTTTTGTTATAAATAATATCACAGATACTGCTTCCCATGTTAGAAAGAAATATTTCTTCAATATATAGTGACTTACGATTGTTCAACTCACAGACTGAAGTCTTGTTGGATGAAGGTCTTTCATTTTTCATCCTGAGTGGTGAAGAAAGGTCTGCTCTGAGCCAGTCTTCTGAACAGGTTGGATTTATTCCCCCTCTCCCCTACATCTTTCCTCTCTCAATAAATTCCTCTTTGTTGATGGAATAAAATGAAATGTTTGATTCGGAGAGAAAATTTTTATTATTATACCTTCACTTCAAATTGAGAAACTGTTCATTATGATAATACCTAACATTTGAGTACTTACTGGATGTTAAAAAAAAGTTAAAGATAAAATTTTCGTAGTGAAATGTGTTAGTCAATCCTTATGAAACACCTGTGAGGTGTTCGATGAGGAAACTGATGGAGAAAAGCTGAGCTACACAAAGCTGGGTTATGTAAGGTGTTAACCTTAGAGCCAGTGATTTCTCCTCTTTTAGTTGTTCCTGTCCTTCTCTCCACATGTCCTACCTTCTTTTCCATGATCTCCATCACTTCTCACAGTTCCCTAATCTTCCATCTCTCCCAGGTCAACTAGACCCTTCTGGTTTCTATCAGTTCTTCCAAGTACCTCTCTCAGACTCCTCAGTCTCCTGTTGCTCTGTGCTTGCCCTTTTTGCCATTACTCTTCCCTTTCTCCATCTCCTAATGACTTGTCTGTCACACTTGCCTCATTGCTTGCTGCTTTTCCTGTGATGTTCTCCAATTTCTCTATGCCCTCAAATATCCAAGGTTTTCTAAGGTCTTGGCCATCCAGAACCTCCCATTCCTAATGCTTTCACCTGACACCTGGCACCTCTAGAAAATTCCCTCAGATACTTCTTTCATGTCTCTCTAGGTCACCACTTGCCTTCCAGCTTACTTCCCAGTTATTGCCATCTGCTCTAATCCTTTCATTCCATGTTATTTTGGGTGGGGTGCTATCCTAGGGATTAAACCCAGAGCCTTTGTTTACTAGGCAAGTGCCCTACCACTTGATACTGGGGCTTGACCTAAAGACATCATGCTCATTCTGGCTTCTCCACTTATAAATTGTTCCTCAGCATCCTCATTAGAGAAGAGATGATCTGGCTCAAATTTTGCTCTTCTTGCAGGTTGTCTGCAGTAAAAATCTGATGACACTGTATGTGTGTGTGTGTGTGTGTGTGCCTGCACACGTGTGTGTGTGTGCACGCGCACACACATGAGCTTGCTCACACTAGGGTTTGAGCTTGAACCCAGGGTCCTGTGCTCTCCCTTACTTGTATTTTTCACTCAAGGCTGGCATTCTACCATTTGAACCATGCCTCTATTTCCAACTTTTTGCTAGCTAATTGAAAGATAAATATTGAGGATTTGTTTGTCAGGGCTGGCTCAGAATCTTAACTCCCAGATTTCAGGCTCCTGAGTAATCTAGGATTAAAGACATGAGTCCTTGGCATCCAGCTTTTTTTTTTTTTTGAGACATTGCAGTATATAGCCTAGGCTGGCCTTGAATTCTAGATTTTCCTTCCTCAGCCTCTTGCATGCACTGTTATCAAGTGCTTATGCCCATATACATGCACACAATTTTATATAAATGCAGTATAGTAGTAAATCAAATTATTCAACCAAACCTTATTGTCATCCTTGAAGTCTCCCTTTTTCTCAAGCTTTATATCGAATTCATAATAAATACTGTTGATTCTACCTTTAAAGTATTCATTCTCCGATCAATTTTTTGCCACCTTCATCCTAGTTTAAACCATTCTTTAAAAAACCATTAAGTGATTCTTATCTGAATCACTGCCAAAGTCTACTTCTGTATTCACTGTTGCCTGTAGAGCTGATTTTTCCATATCACGAAGTAGTCAAAGCAATCCTGTTAAAAATGAATTCACCTTCTTATAGTTTGTTACTTAAAAGCTGAAGTCATGCCCAATTCTTCAAGGCCTATATAATCTGGCCTCTATTACTCCTCTCATTTCATTTCATTTCTTCTGTTTTCCGCCTTTCTCACCTAGTGCCAGCCACACTGGAGTTGTTCCTCGCTTATAGCACACTCTTGCCTTAGAGTCCTTCTATTTTTTTTTATCTGTTTAGAGTCCTTCTATTTTTTTATCTGCTTAGGAAGTTCTCTTATCCTCATACTCTATCCTTTGCTGCCTTTGGTGTCTATTTGAATGATACAAGATACTGTCTGACAATCCTGTTTAAAATAGTAGCTTCCAACTTACCTAGCCCAATATTCTTTGTTCCCTTATCCTATATTATTTTTCTTCATTAGTCTTATCATCTGCTTCCAGAACATATTAGGCATTTGATCAATATTTGATGAATGTTAAAAAGTGTCACATCAAACATGCATGCAATCTTACGTACCAAGTACCTTTCATTTACCTGCATACTAATCATTGAAGACAAGCATGTAGACTTACTTTTCATTTTGATATTTAACAGAGATCAGTAAAAGATAGTTACTCCAAACACTTTTCACTTGATGATAATTTGCAAAATATTGCTGAAAGCGAAGATGAAGATTTTATTGAAGAAGTGATTTTTACAGATTTACTTGAAGTAAAAGCTGCTGAATATGAAGATAATAAAAAACAAATAGAAAAACAGCAGACCAATATTTTTGTACCAAGTACTTCTCCAGGTAATGTTCTTTTCCAATAAAATGTTAAAATTATTAATGAATCATGTTATAGGATAATAACTTATTTGTATCATGGATAAACTAAAAGTATTAATCTAAAATTACACTAACATATATTTCCTCTATTTTGGAATCTAAATTAATATCTAAGTTTTATTATTAAGTGGCCAGCAAGTATAAACTACCAAAAGGTATGATGCCACGCATTTTAGAAGATGAAGGACTGTATATTCAGAGAAAACCAGAAGTACATAAAACAATCTACAACAAAATGGAAAATCGCCTAGTTAAACTAGAAGAGGCAAGTACACCAGTAAACAAATTAAACCAGCTAATAGTATATGACATTTATTTTTAGTGAAATGTTCAATTGCTGTGTTTTGTAAATATTTTTGATAGGGAAAATGTTGGTTTGAAGAAAGTGGAGAAATAATGTCATTACCTTCACCTATTAGACAGTCTTGGAATTTCAGACTAAGCGTAAGCAAAGAGTCACTAAATCCAGCCCTAAAGACCATATACAAAAAGGTAACTAAGAATAGTTTATTTGGAATGATAGTTGAAAAATCTTGTAATATCAATTATATCTTACGTTTCTGTCATTTTATTTTACTCTCTAAAGATTCGAATCCTAATAATATAATGACTAAATTGTGATAAAAGATTAAGTTACCCGTAAGACTGTTTTTGAGAAATAATTAATGATGTAGGGAAATCCTCCAAATAAAATGTAAAGTGAAAAGCAGCAGAATATTATCTATGACCCTAATTTTACAAAAATGAGTAATCCAGGCACAGTGGCTCAGGCTTGTAATCCAAGATACTTAGGAGGTAAATATGACGGATTGCTATTTGAGGCCAGCTGGTCAGAAAAGTTCTCAAGACATCATCTCAAGCAGTGGCTGAATGAAATGGCATGTACCTGTTGTCCCATTAATAAAGGGAATTAAAAATAGGAAGACTGCAGTCCAGGTGAGCCTGAACATAAAGTGAGATCTTTCTTGAAAATAACCAATACAAAAAGGGACTGGAAGAATGACTCAGGTGGTAGAATGCCTGTCTAGGAAGTGTTAAGGCCTTGAATTCAAACCCCAGTATTGCCCCTCCCAAAAATGAATAAATTAATTTTGTTCAAGTTAAGTGTTGTTATAATCTCTATTACTGTAGATTACTCATTATTTTGGAATCAGAATCACAAATAGATACTTTGTTGTTGTCTACAGCAATAGTTTGCTCGTCTGTGTAGAAATTTTTGTTTTTATATTCAAATAGATGTGAAGAGGGATTCAATTTAACATGTCCAACTATTTGTACAATACATCTTGAGAAGAGTGACCCTTTCCCATCATTCTTTCTCATTCCCATCCATCTCTTCCCCTGCCAGTCTCAAGTTTCTGTGCAGCATTTCATTATATGAAAAATAAAATTACTTTTCTTGGATGAACTTTAAGCATATTCTTTTATTGGCTTTTTCTTACCAATACTTTTATGGATTTTTTTGTACTGATGCCAAGGCTTGAACCCAGGGTTTCACATTCTCATCACCTTTTTTGGCTCAGGGTTGGTGGCCCTCCACCTGATCCATATCTCCATTTGACATTTTGATGGTTAATTGGACATGGAGTCTCACAGACTTTTCTGCCTACGCTAACTTCAAACAGATCCTCCAAATCTTAGCCTTCTAACTAAGCTAGGATTATAGGTATGAGCCACTGGTGCCTAGCTTCTGTACATGTGTTTTCACTCATATATGTATACGTATTTTTTGTTGATTAAGTATCTCAGAAGAAAAATGTTGATCTTATGCTGATCTGATGTGTTTGGTCTCAGTGTATACTGTCAGCTTCTCAAAAGTAGTTTTGAGAAATTGCATGCAAACTATATTCTTTCCAACACTAGGTATTGTCTGTCATTTAAACCATAACCAGATTAGTGTGCATAAATCCACTAAGGCTTGGATGTTGTTGTCTAGCCTTTAATTCAGTTTCACACACCTCTTTGTGCTTTTGGTATAATACGCTTGTCTGGTTCTAGAAGCCTATTAAGTCCCTTTAGTCAACTTCTACTAGTGTAGCAAAAAGAGCTTACTATCTCCCAAGATAATTCATTCTAGTGTTGCAGAGTTCTAAAAATCTGTTTTTGGATCTTGAATTAAAGTCTGCTTCCTGATTACTTATTTGACTTCATTTGGCCATAAAAGAACCCATAAAATTCTTCCATCTCTATGACAGCTTTTTAAATAAATGAAGGCTACAGTCACTTTCCCCTTAATTTTTCTCTCCAATCTAAATACTCTTCCTGTTATTGTTCTTATAAAGTCCACCATCTCAATAATTCTGAGCACCACAGTTGTTAGTTATTAAATAAGGCAGAACCAAGAGCAAAGACTTATGTTACTTCAGAAGAAAGCCAAAGAAAGTAAGCAATATAGTTACCAAACTACTTACCAAAACAGACAACTTGAATTTCTGTAAGTTTATTTATGAGCATATTTTTTAACTTGGTAATGACTGGTTTATCAGTATACTAATAATTGACTAAATCCCTTAGGTGAATTCTGAATTGGATCTTATGTAGAAAACAGATTAAACAAACAAAACTACAGTGACTTTTTTCCTGTCTTCCCAAAACCCAGTGAGGAAGAAGAAAAGGTTCCCAGCTCAAAAAATGCCAGGAAGGCAGAGGTTTAGGCATCATGCTGGCAGCCTCCTCCTTGAAGAGCATCAAGTCTACCACATCAAATCTGGGGAGGGGCAGGGTTGTTTTTTCAGTGTGATAGACAGTGACCAGGATGAAGGCCCTTACTGTTTGTGTTTTAATCCATTTGCTTTTGCAAATAACATGGTATCTATCACAGACTGTGCAAAAATGTAAAGAAAAGAGGTTTGGTTTGGCCCTTGCTTCTGGTCCAAGATAGTCATCTGATGATGACAATTTTGCCTACAGATCCCTAAGATCAAGACCAAAGGCACATTACTTAGAAAGACACAGGGAACATGTAAGATACCCAATCAAACTGGCTTTTATAACAAAACCACTGCCAAGATAACCCATCAATGACATGAATAAAATCATTTATTCATCAGGTAATAGACCTAATCACCTCTCACCTCTACCTCATAATGGTAATCAAATTTCATTGCAAATTTCAGAGGGGACAAATGATATTTAAATCATAGCAGCATTTCACTGCATTCAAGGCTGATCTGGCTGAGGCCTCAGTGTGCTACTTTTTTAGTGGATGCAGTCATGGCTCCTAACTGATAGCCAGGGATTCATAAATTATGGTGCATACTCTAAGTAACTCATTAACCCTCTAAACTACATCACAGAAACCAATCACATTCATGTTCAAACATATGTGCTTAAAATAGTCGGAAGCCAGGCGCCAGTGGCTCATGTCCGGTAATCCTAGCTACGCAGGAGGCTGAGATCTGAGGATCCCGGTTCAAAACCAGCCCAGGCAGCAAAGTCCATGAGACTCTTATCTCCAATAAGCCACTAGAAAACTGGAAGTGGCGCTGTGGCTTAAGTGGTAGAGTACTTGCCTTGAGCTGAAGAGCTGAGGGACAGTGCCCAGGCCCAGAGTTCAAGCCCCACGATCAACAAAATAAATAAATAAATAAATAAAATTTAAAAAAATAAAATAGTCAGAACCATTTTGTGTGTGGGATCTAAGGCCTGCAGACTTCAACCAATGAGGTACCCAAGTAGAGAAGCTCATAGAGGGGCATAGTTTCTTATAGTATAGCATTTGTTCAGAGGGACTCAGTTCCTCAAGGGGATTTCTCTCAGATTCCAATATTTTCAGTATAAATAATGTTTTATAATAAAACATTTATAATAAATAAATTACTTTGAGGGGGCTGGGAAGGTGGCTCAGAGGTAGAGTGCTTGCCTTGCATGCATGAGGCCCTGGGTTTGATTCCTCAGCTGAAATGCTGAGGGACAGTGCATATGCCCAGTGTTCAGGCCCCAAAACTGACAAAAATAAAATAAATAAATCACTTTTAAATTCTAGCCTACACATGACCATTCCAACATCATGTAACCAAACTCTTTTTTTTTTTTTTTGCCAGTCCTGGGGCTTAAACTCAGGGCCTGGGCACTATCCCTGAGCTTCTTTTTGCTCAAGGCTAGCACTCTACCATTTGAACCACAATGCCACTTCCAGCATTTTCTGTTTATGTGGTACTGAGGAATCAAACCCCGGGCTTCATGCATGCTAGGCAAGCACTCTACCACTAAGCCATATTCCCAGCCCAGTGTATCCAAACTCTTAATCCACAAATTACACTGCTATTTGTTACAATGTTCCTATAGGAAGTAATTTTGATTTTATAACTTAAGAGTCTAATGTCCACAGTAAACACTATCTGAGGTTGGTGACAGTAGTATTCTCATAACATGATTAAGATATGGTCATAAATGCTATAAGACAAATACATTTTATTTTATTTTTTGGGGGGGGGTCCAGTCGTGGGGCCTGAACTCTGGGCTTGGGCGCTGTCCCTCAGCTCTTCAGCTCAAGGCTAGTGCTCTACCACTTGAGCTACAACGCCACTTCTGGCTTTTTACTTTTTTGCTTATGTGGTGCTGAGGAATCTAACCCAGGGCCTCAGGCATGCAAGGCAAGCGCTCTACCACTGAGCCACCTTCCCAGCCCGACAAATACATTTTATAAAATTAATAGTGATAATTTCAAAGAAGACAAATTATTTCTTGCTTTTGTTTAACTCTTGAATTTTTCTATAATTGATATTATTTTTATACAGAATAGTTGACTTGTAATTAAAAAATAGAATCAAATTAACATTGTACCGGGCTGGGAAGTTGGCTCAGTGGTAGAGCACTTGCCTTGCATGCCTGAGGCCCTGGGTTCGATTCCTCAGCACCACATAAGCAAACAAGAAAAAACCCAGAAGTGGCGCTGTGACTCAAGTGGTAGAGCGCTAGCCTTGAGCTAAAGAGCAGAGGGGCAGTGCCCAGACCCAAAGTTCAGGCCCCACGACTGGACCCC